ATAAAATATAAGGTGAAAAATGACTTTGACTTCTAGCCTGAGAGAGAGAGAGAATTTTAATCCTTGAGCAAATTCTACAAAATTTTGAATTTTGTGACTGTTCTTACATTATATTTATTAATCCATTTCTCCTATCCATTCAACATATGACAATAAACATTGACCACAAAAGCTATCATGGAGTTGCAGATGCTTTACCTCTCTAGGTACTGATGTCTAGAAACAGAAATAAATTAAAGAATTCATCATATTTCAGCTTTGAGATTTGTCCATTCTGATCTATTAACTTCTATCCACTTTAATGTCCTACTTTTCACTTACTCCATCTGAATAGCTTTAAGAGCTAGCATTAATTAGACCATATTATTAAATGCATAAGTGTAATATGCAAAAGTAACAGAGTTGGGGAGATGTTAAGTTGGTAAAATGCTTGCTGCACAAGCATGAAAACCTGAGTTCAAATCCTCAGCACCTACATAAAAAGGCATATGTTGGGGTTGAAGAGATGGCTCAGCAGTTAAGAGCACTAATTGCTCTTGCAGAAGATCCAGGTTCAGCTCCTAACATCCAATTGGTGGCTAACAGTCATCCATAACTCCATTTCCAGGGGAATCTGACAACTTCTGACCTCTGTGGGCACTGCACAACACAGGTAGGTATACTTACCATGCCTGATTCTAATTTCTCATCATATTTGGTCTTCTCACTTTTTTGAGGGTTCTTTGCCAATACTTCAAGCACTCAAACATTTTAAGGTCTTCAAGTATAAATCTTGAAATTCTCTATCAAATTAGGAATTTATCACTTCTCTCCTTCCACAGAAAACCAATTTATTTATGTAACAATATGACTAATTAGTTCCTCGAGAAGGCCTCTCTAAAACAAAACTTTTACTCTTAGTTGAACAGAACTTCACCAATACTTATTATTTTACCTTATGAGGATCAGCAATGCAAAATTAAAGTATAAAGTACAGAAGTTATAAGATATGAAGAAACCCTTATAATAGTGAATTCATATTTAAAATAAAATTCCTTAACAAGTCTAGTGGCACATCCTGCAATCCTAACACTTGGAGGCTGAAGCAAGAAGAGTCACAAGATCAAGACCAGGGTAGGCTACATAGCAAGACCCTGTTCCCCATCAGGAACTGTGAAAGTATAATGAATTTTCAAATAGAAGAAATATAATGCAGACTCAGTATACCTGATTGCTCTGTATGTACCTAGACTATATTTGATTACATTGCACTAATTTGCTAAACTTTTAGACTCTCAAAAATTATTGGGGCAATCATTTTCAAAACAGTCCTAAACTCTCAAGAGACACACACACACACACACAGACTTTAAAATTATAGTTATTCCAGTAGAGTTTGCAGGAAGGTGGGGGAAGGGAGTGTTGTTTGAGCCAAGAGATCACTGTAGAGTACTGGCTAGCCTTGAACACAAAGAGATCTACCTGCCTCTGATTCCCAAGCGCTGGGATTAAAATAAAATAATAAATGCTAAAGAGAAAAGTTCTAAGGTTTCTTCAGCTGGCAGAGCAAACCTTTGACATTTAAAAAACTGTATTTGCAATTAAATTAGCTTTCCATCACAGAATTTTTTGCTTTTTGGAGGTAAGTCTTCCAATATGGTTCAAAGTGACATTGAACTCACAGTCCTTCTGCCTCAGCCTCCCCAGCCCTCACAATACACCTGTACATTACCATTCCCAGCTACAGGATTATTTTAAATAGTCCTAAAATACAGGAATGACTACACGAACGGGGAGTCATTGAGGATTTATATAGAGCTTATAACATCATGGAATTTGTGTTTTAATGCTAAAAGAACAAAACCCTCAATTCTACACCTATTACAATCACAAATATATGTTTAAGTCTATGAAAAAACATTAGAGGGAAAGAGGAAATATAATGAAAAGGTTGGGCAATGGTAAATACTTTGGTGTGTGTGTGTGTGTATTTTCATAAGGAATTTTTTTTTTTTTTGGTCTTTTTGAGACAGGGTCTCCCTGTAGCCCTAGCTGTCCTGGAACTCACTATGTAGACCAGCCTGGCCTTGATCTCACAGAGATCCACCTGCCTCTGCCTCCCAACTGCTGGAATTAAAGGCGTGTGCCACCATGCCTGGCATAAATAAGGATTTTTATAAGGAAAAGTTTAATACTTTTTTTCAAGTTCTATATATAAAGACTTTTGGGGTGGGGTTGAGACAGGGTCTCCCTATAGCCCCAGTTAGCCTGGAACTCAATATGTAGACCAGGCTGGCATTGAACTCACAGAGATCTACCTGCCTCTGCCTCCCAAAGGCTGGGAATAAAGGCATGGACCACCACTCCTGGCAGTATATAAAGATATTTTTAATTAGGGTTTGGGGGATTTTCTTTTCTTTTGTTTTGTTTTCTTTTCTTAATCTTTTTGAGACAGGGTCTCCCTGTAATCCTCAGCTGGCCTGGAACTCACTATGTAGACCAGGCGGGCCTTGAACTCACAGAGATCTGCCTGCCTCTGCCTCCCAGGTGCTGGGATTAAAGGAGTGCACTACAATGCCCAGCTCTATAAGGTTTTTTTAATCTCCTAAGCTTTGCAGTGATACAAGTATAGTTGGTATGTACCATTCCAATAAACATAACACCCCTGCTAAGTGGGAGTTTAGCTTAGTGGTAGAATGCTTGCCTAACACACACAGACTCTCAGTTCAATTCCCAGCACCACCAAGGTAATAAGAAAAGGCTACTGGCAGGAAAAAAAAAAAATTAAATCAACCACCAAGCTATCAAATTTTTTATTTTTAAAGCTCTCAAAGAGCACGAAATTTGGCAATTTTTTTTTAAAACAAGACAAATTTCCTCTTCAGGATTGATTATTATCACAATAACATTTTCATAAACCATTAAAATTTACTTTCCTATCAAATAATATAGTAACATCACAAAAAGAACCATATACAATATCGACTATGTATTTTCCAAATAGTACATGCACACTAACTGGCATAATAAAGGCTGTCAACAGGCTGGCTATTTCTCATAGACAAACAAAAAAATAATAAGGTCTCACTTGTGAAATATGATTGATTGAAGATTCCATCCTTCGTAACTGGGATGCCTGGATATCCAGCATCTGTAGGACATTGTTGGCCAAGGTGTTTATAAGATAGGCAACACTTGCTAAGGATTGGGTGGTGTAGGCTTTGGTTTCTTCTAGGGCACGCTGCTTATCTGCTGACTAGGAGAGAAAAAAAGTAAAACAGTGATCATTAATTTACAAATAATCCATGTCTACTAAACTAATTTACACAACTGGTCCTGAATCTATACCAAGTCAAAAATATTATAAAATTGAATTATATCTGTCATGCAAACCTAAACCTAAATAATACAAGGAGTAGTTTTGCCAGCACCATTTGCTCTACATGCTGTCTTTCCTCCAGTGAGTATTTTTGGCCCCTTTGTCAGATATTGTTGGGAGCTGCTAGTCTATTACGTACATTGAGCTATGGCAGCCTTGTTTATTGAGTTTCTGTTATGCATACCAGTACCTAATCTGCCTATTCAGGAGGAATGTGTTTATATGGAGAGCCTCACAATACCTGACCTGGAGGCAATAGTGGTAAACAAAAAGATCAAAGAAGTCTTTGAAGTATTTGACCGCTCCTTGACCCTCAGATTCAGGTGGGGAAAAACAGCTGTTAAAACTAATTGAGTTCTTCTGTATAAAAAGGCAGAGGTGAAATAAACCGGGGCTGCAGGCAATACTGTCAGCCCTCACAAGCATCTTTTCTCTTATTTTTTCTTTCAATCCTCACTCCCCCTTTCAGGTACTGTCCATCTTGGCCGGCTGGCACCAGCAAGTGGCGCCCAAACAGGGACCTGAAAAGTAGCGGAAAAAGTGAAGGACACCGCTGGAGAAGTGAGTGCACTCGGTACAATTGGGGAGTGGTGAGTATTTATCTTGGGAGAAGATGGGGCAAGGAAACAGTCGCTCAGTTTTTGTAAGGAATATGCTTGGGGCTCAAGGAGCAAAGGCTGAGACTAAAGAGGAGAATCCGATAAGCCACGGCTGGGATAAAAGTGAAACCAAACCTTCCGCTCCACCAGAACCAGATCCACCCTATTATGAGGACCCCCGTCTGGGGCCAGAAGAGGGATCTCTTGACCCTGAGGATGAGTCTGCCCTAGGAGAGGAGACGGTTGAGTATGATCAGGAGAAGTGTCCAACTATCTGGGGCTAGAAGAGGGATCTCTTGACCCTGAGGATGAGTCTGCCCTAGGAGAGGAGATGGTTGAGTATGATCAGGAGAAGTGTCCACCTCTAATTGCTTTGCCTGATCACTGGAAAATTAAGCAATTAAGGACAGAGTTAGACGCTGTGAAGAAGGAACTGTTAAAGAATAAGGAGAAAAGAATTAGGACCACCCCAACACCCCCTCCGAAGGCTGTTGCACCTCCCATGATTGCCATGGCTCAGGAGCCTTCAGCAGGAATCTGGTACCCACTTAGAAACGTGCAATCTCCACTACAACAGGCCACTGGGGCTGCGGTAGAGAGAGGAGAATCAATGCATGGATTTCAGGTCTTCCCAGTTTCTGAGCAAGTTGATCAGTAGGGCAACAGGGTGCGGTCTCATGCACCTGTGCCTTTTAAGCAGCTTAAGGAACTAAAGACTGCTTGTGCTCAGTATGGTCCCACTGCCCCTTTTACCCAGGATTTTGTTAGAATCCCTGTCCATGGACGCGCTTCCTCCTGGCGATTGGAAACAGATGGCACGTGCTTGCCTTTCAGGGGGAGATTATCTGTTGTGGAAATCTGAGTATGAGGAACAGTGCCAGGTGACAGCGAATACCAATAGAGTGCAAAATATTCCCATAGATTTTGATATGTTAGCTGGTGAAGGACAATATAGGGATATTGTTCAGCAGTTGCAGCATGATGTTTCAGCCTATGCGCAGATCAGTGCTGCAGCCTGAAGAGCCTGGTATAAACTGCCGTCTAGTGGTAGGCAGACTGAGGATTTGTCTAAGATCAGGCAAGGTCCGGATGAGCCAT